GCGGGCCAGCAGGTCACATGACTCGCTCACAAAGAAGCTGTCAGCTGATTCTGTGAACAAGCCGCTGGAGCTGCTAGAACGAAAGATGACGACCTGTAGGCTCGCGGTGGGGATTCTGTTCTGCACGGCTACAGTCCTGACGTCGTGCGGCGCCGCTACTAACCCCAACGTCACCACAAGCCTTCTCTGGCCGCTTCCCAGCAACCTATCCTTCAGCACAGGCTACCTCACCATCGATCCCTCCAACTTCAAGTTTGTTCCCAGCGGCCCCGGTGGCAGCAGTCACCGTCGTGCAGGGTGCTCTGGAGCGATACTACAAGTTTATATTCGACACTCCCGTCCCGTACTACCCTGGAGGGGACCCTGGGACCGTAATGGGGACTCTTTCAATGGTCTACGTGGACGTGGCGAGCAGTGACGAATCTCTGGGACCTGATACTAACGAAATCTGTAAGCTTTCACCCTAGCCTGCAATGTTTTGTTGCTGGTTGCAGTGCTTTTCTTGCACACTAGCTAGCTACCTACTCCCCCTGCAGATTCAATGAGGATAGGTCCAGGAACTTCCTCAATGTCTTCTGCTACTGTGTACGGTGCACTTAGAGGTCAGCGGATACTCTTCTCATATGCACGTGCTTGGTTACATACTAAATAACTTGCGACGAAAAATACTTTCATGACATCAAGAGCAACTTTGCAAACATGGTCAGCCAGCAAGCATGGCACCTAAAACGACTGTTAACAGGATTTATGAAAGTGCGGTGTAAACCTCATTGCCTTTTTTCTTTCTCTCCAGCACTTGAGACTTTCAGTCAGTTGGTGTATAGGACACCAGAAGGAGGGGTAAGTATTGTGGTTTTCATTAACAGTGTTTGACTTTCACTTCTCACTTTCTCTCTCCTCTCCTATGGTATTGTAAGAGAGAAGGGTGTTTGTCTGGAATTTTTACCTTAGTACTTTCATGGTACATAGGAGCTAAATTTAGACTTAAACTCAGTAGTACAAGAATGCAATTAAGTTTTAGTTACAGTTTGTAAATTTAGCCCGTATATATACTGCCACATTGCCTTTGAAGCGGAAAGACAGGGAAGGGGCAGCGAGGAGAGAAGAAAGGAGGGATGAGTGAGGGTAGGGGAGAGAAGGGAAGGGGGAGCGAAGAGGAGGAAGGAGAAGATAGAAAGAAGGAAGCAAGAATAATAGTGAAGAAGAAAAGGAAAGAAAATAAGGACAGAACAGCGGAGGGGAGAGAAGGGATATACGAGCAACAGAGGGAGGAAGGAGCAAAAGAACAGAAAAAAAGGAGGAGATGAGGAAGGGACAGGCGAGAAGGGAAGGAACGCAGGCAAAACGGAAGAAAAGAAAGGGAAAGAGGAACGGGAAGACAAGATGACAGACAGACCGAGCGGGACGGCAGGAGCACGCGAAGCGACAGGCACGGCAGAGAAAACAGGCAAGGAAAAAGAACGGACCGCTTGAGAAGGGAAAGGGGACAGAAGAAAAACGCGAGCGTCGAAACGGACGAGGCCAAAGGGCAAACAGAAACGGGAAAGAAGAAGCGAGGAGAAAGGAAGCATGGAGAGACCGAAGGAAGAGAAGAGGAGAAAGCGAAGAGGAACAAAGGAGAAAAACGGAAGAGAAGAAAAAAGAAAAATACAAGGAAGAGAAAGAAGAAGCAGAAGGAAGAGCAGAGCTAAGAAGAAGCAGGAAGAAGGAGTAGAAGAAGAAAAGAAGACGAGAAGATCAGTATGCTATCTCTGAAGTGATGCTAGTGGACGCTCCCCGGTTCACCTATCGTGGCAGTATGATCGACTCGTCTCGCCACTACCTCTCACGCAACACAATCCTAGCTCACCTGGTACGTACGTAGTGGCGCTGCATAGTGGGAAACCTTTTGGGGCTGAACACTTTGCTAGAAAGTATACACAAGAACTCTGCACTGTTGTCCCACTGTTCAAGCAGTCCCATTGCAGATAATCATTTGCTGGTGGCTTGTAAGTTTGGAGTCTGTGGAAATTTTCTCCCTTGGATGTTTTCTGTATGCAAATCAGGTGTATTAATGCATCGAGCTGCTGTGTCACAGTGGCAGATGGTTCAGCGCTACAATTTCTCAACGCCTTTTTTCCTCTGTCCCCCTCTCTCTCCCTCCTCTCTCCCTCCCCCCGTCTCCCTTCTCCCACAGGATGCAATGTCCTACAGCAAGTTCAACGTTCTCCACTGGCACATCACAGATGACCAGAGCTTTCCCTACGAGAGCATCGTCTTCCCTCAGCTCAGCCAGAAGGTACGTTTATGTAACCCCTCAGTGTCACGATTCGTGTATCACTGAGGCCTCGCTGTTTTGTACGTGAGGTCGTGCAAAAACTTAATCTACGATGGCATTATGCGATATAATAATCATCCTACTTAAAATAAAGCTCCCCTTATGGCCATCACTCATTATGCAAGGGTTGTAGTATATATGCAGTTACGTAGTTTCACCGAGGGAAGTACTGCACTGGTGGTGATAGAAATACAGAATAACCTTGCATTGAGATCAAAATAGAGTTCATCTTTTTGATGTGTGAGGTTGACCTTAGACACAGTGAGGTCAGTGGTTATACAACGTAAGATATTACTGATCACTATTGGAGGTGCAATTTCGGCAACCA